AATCAGCAATGCCTAGAATATTCAACGACTATGAACGAATTATGATGCCCGAATATTTTATATATGATGTCTTTCTTTCTTTCTCTTGACTGAAAATTTTAAATGCCCCATCATTCTAAGGAATATGACCACATTTATGAAACTTAGTGTACAAACAAGTTATACAAATATTTTTCTGATAATGAAAATATCATTTTTTGTAACAGAGTTTTCATAGGATCTTTATTCCTTATACGTATCTGGAAAAAAATGTCTCTTGATTTAATTGAATAAGGACCGAGCAAAAACTCGCTGACGAGAGAAATAATAAAAAATATTTCTGTTATCACGACTGAGAAAAACTAAGAAACATTCAGCTGTATTAAAACTCGATAGACGTGACTGAGAACGATTGAATGAGTAGCAACCTTTCCTACGGGAATCTTACTGTTACTACAACTACTGGATTTTCATTTGATTCTTAGACAACAGAAAATTCACTTACACTGTAAGATGTAATGTGGAGATGTTTTTTTTCCGTTTATCAATAAGGCAACGAAAGGTGTAAAACGTTGCTTATTCCGCGCGAATTTGCGATACGTCTTTCGCGAATACTTCATGAAGTCGTCAGCTATCATTCCGATGCACTCTGTGCAGGATACGTGCGGTATGTTAATCAAATGCAAAACCAACTGTACGGCGCGAATGCGAATGAAGTTGAGGTGCCGTCATATTGACGCAAACCATCCTCTATACCTGCCAATTCTATAACCAGATAAACTGTCGCGTCAGCACTGAAAATTATAATAACTCGATCATCTGATAATCACTTTTCTCTAACAAATCCTTTGTGCTGATAACATAAAGTGAAATCAAGAAATATAAGATTCCCTCTGCTGTACAAACAACCATGGAATTTCATTCATGAAAATTTCTCAGTTGAATTGAGCCTCGAGAGACACGACTCAGGGGAAAATATAAAAGGCAGATAGAAAAGATAGAAGATATGAAAGATATAGAAAATATAGAAGATATATAAAGAAAATAGAAGATATATTATGGGATGTTCCCTGCTGAATATGATGCAAAGGAAACAATAGCAAATGCTGGTTTTCCTTTTCAGTGATTTTGCATGTCTCTTTCAGAACACTCTTTAAGAAATTTTATGAATGAATTGTACTATAAGGTATACCATATATCCTTTGTATATAAATATTTTAAAAAAGATGCAAAGTCACTATTGCGAAAGAAAGCCAGCATTTTCTTTTCTATTCATAATTTTTTAAGCAGGGTTTACCTTGTGAAAATAAAAAATATCTCGACAGAGGAAGACCTACAGAGAGGCAGCGCGAATAGATTACACTGACCGAGCGTAATTACGAGGGTTTCTAATGAATTCCGCTGCCAGATTCGGCCGGTCGGTTGTATAATAATACCGCCATTGTTTGACGTAGTCAGCGGGGTCACGGGCGATTCGAATGGAGAAACCGAGGCTTCGTATGCGCCGCACGTGAGGAGAAAATTATGGGCATCTCCTAAATCGCCTCGTCGTGGCTAAGCGTGAAAACAATGCACGCGGGTGGGGCCTCGAAATAAACGGTACGAGTTCCTTTCGAGAGAGGCATTATCGGCCAGTCGTTCATCGTCGTTCACGGACTCGTCCTCGTGTTGTCGCGATCGGCAGAGGGCAGTAGAAACTCACGGTCTCGTGTTTGAAAAATATGAGAGAAGCGTCCGGGCAATTTCAGTATTAAGAACCGTTCGATATTTGTTTCCGGCCGCTGAAAATTAATTTAACGACGAGGGGAAGGAGAGAAGTGTACTGAAGACACGCATATTTCCTTTCCATGCTGTGTCTTTTTCGAAAACTTCGAGCTCAATCCATTCGGAAAATCCGGGAAGACTTTTAAAATGGACGTGGTCTGTGCGAGTCCTCGGTCGAGAAGACGTAACAGGCCGAATTTCCTAGATCTGTCCGCCGTGAAGCGTAAGTTCAAACGCGACTATGCGAATCGGCGAAAACGCGATGTCTCGTGCGAATTGCGTATGTGGCGTGTATCGTCTCGATAATTGCGAGAAAGAGTAGCGAATCGTAAATCGTGAAGCATTGTGCTAACATGCCTCTCGTCGAGAGAAAAAGAGAGAGAGAAAGAAGGAGGGGAGAGAAAGAGAGAGAGAGAGAGAGAGAGTTCATCTTTTTGTAGCAATTATCATCGTACAAGAGCGACCCACGACCCACGTGCGTTACAAACCGACTGTATTTCCCGCGATATTATCGTTGCGGTTTCTCTCGTTGAAACAGCCGGATATTGCAGTCGGTTAAGGGTCAAGACGAAATCCTCGAAACACGACTTATGACAATTGCGTATCGTGAAGATAACGCAACGAAACATCTCTCAAATATGGGGAATTCAAAAAAGCACACTCGAAGTAGCCGAAATCAGAGTAGTTACATACAAAGAAAGGACATTTCTGTACACATATTCTTATGTGAAATAAAAAGCTAAGATTCCTAATTTTTCCTAATTTTTCTTTTAAGCAGGATTTTATGTTTGTTATTTTTTGTCTCTCTCTCTCTCTCTCTCTCTCTCTCTCTCTCTCTCTCTCTCTCTCTCTCTCTCTCTTGCCCTCGACTCGTAACGATTATTTTGTTTCTTGCGAGATCTCTCTTTGCTTCGACCTTTCAGACCTTTTCGTACATGGTAATTTTTCTTGATCGTTAATTTTCATTCTCTGTTTCGCCCGTCACGCCAATCTACGAGATTTCTACACCTGATGTATGTCTTGTAATAATCTAATGTAAGTTTGCTTTCTCGGTATTGCCGAGTCTTGGGTTACGTGTTACAAAGAGACATTTGTAGATCGTAAAACTCACCGACGGCCGATCGGCCGTCAGCAGAAGTGCTGACGAAAAATGTCTGCACGCACGCGATACGCTGCGCGTATACATACACATATCGTACCTTTCTCTCAAAGTCGTATGAATTCAAATATACGAGAAGATAAGGAGAGGCGGTTGGGGACAGAAGGAAAGAAGAACAAGGTTTCACGCGCGCGCGATATTGTACGCGAGCTGAGCACGTGCTGCCACGTGTCTCGCGGTCCTCGCGCGACACCACACTACCACCATCATCGGGAATTTTCTACGGAGAAATAAAAGATTTGTGTGTCACACTGATGAAATCGTGTTAATGGACATCCATGGTCGTTAACGCGTCCTCGTGAAAAGCAGGCGGGAAGAAGAGAAGAAACGAGTAGGTGGACGGAGGAAGAGTGAGAAAGAAAGAGAGAATCCTTCGTATCGTTTTTACGACTTGTGTGGTTCGTGTGGATAGGGTGGCCAACTCTTAATCAGTCAATTTCAGAATATCGACCTTAAAAACACAATTTTAAAAATCGGGATTTTTCCCGATGGTATATCAGATAAAATAGTCTTATAATATTAACACATGTCCCTTCTTCATACACCGATGTATATATATATATATATATATATATATATATATATATATATATATATATATATA